TTGATTTCAAGGGGAATCCGACTGTTAAGAAGTAGTAAAATTTACCAAATGAACCAAACTAGAGTAAAGCCAAGCAGCAATGGTTTGTTTATTGATCCGTAATAGATTTTGCTTATGATCAGAATTTTTTCAGATGCTACAGTACAACTGACAGGATATAAAAATAAAATCCAGTGCAGAATACGGATTACTAAATGTCCCCCAAGGATTAATAAAGGTTTATCTTTATCTTAGATCATGTCTGATGAAAGTCCAATATCTTGCAGAGGTTAAATACACACATTTAACCCAAGATGGAGCTCATCAGCAACCTAAAGCTGTTTTAAATTAGATACATCAGGAACTAAAGTGTGGTCAATACCTCCTCGTTTATGTCCAGTCCTCTTCCTTTATCGTGTTTTCTGTCATCCCGGCGCAGCCTCATGTCGTAACCCTCGTCCTGGTGGAACACTTGGTCATACATGGAGACTTCGGGGACCTACCAGCGGAGAGAAGGTGAACAGGTGTTTGTCATTCAAAGCCTGCCCTCCAACAGAAGGGGGTCATTTTGAGCCACTTTGGGCGAGGCGCGGGAGGTGGAGGGAGAACCAAAGCCAACAATCACAGCAATGTCTTCCCAAGATTGGTTCAAGTTACAGCAACACAAACAGCCCTGTGGTGGATCAGTCAACAGCGGCATTTCCATTCATCCTGAGGAAGAGTATTCACGTGGTATTTGTGGCTTCATCTTTTCACATCTTCCGATATTGATTTTGTGAATTATATGTATTATTCCCTCTTAGACCTAAATGTTTCTTAAGGCACAAAAGTTCATTCTCAACTAACCTGACTTATAATTGGGTTTACTGTGAATGAAAACATCTATAAATCATCACAAGTTGTTGTTGTGTTATATTACACAGTAAACTGTAGATTCTGCAGTACTCCCTGACTTCCTCTCATCAATCAGACAGTTTCTTAGTTAGCTGCAGCCTGAGTGTTGGCTGGAAGACACATCTGCAAATATGTGTACCAGTATGTGGAGACTGTGTGGGGGGGAGAGGGGGACGCAGCAAAGGGCCGCAGGTCGGACTCGAACCCGCGGCCGCTGCAGCACGGACTCAGCCTCGGTACATGGGGAACCAGCTCTACCAGGAGAGCTACCACAGAGCCCCACTCTTACCATTTTTAACTTATATGCTGTCGCGATATTGTCACAGTATCGTGATGAGTCTGACTAAATGACCAACACCGTCCATACCTGTGAGTCCTTGTTGAAGTATGACCTTTCTTTTGGTTCCTTCCGTCGCGGTGGGACGTAACTGAACGAAGACAAGGTAGAGAGCGGTTTGGTTCGTGCCTCGAGTGACACGTCCATCTTCTTGGCTAAAACCCCCTCAGTAAATGTGGGAAAACTTCAGGGAAGTGAATCCCCAGCGACACGACGCGGAGCGCTGGCGTCTGTGGTTGCTAGGATACTGATGTCAGGTATGCTGCCTTCACGAGTCCTCGGTTTGCCTGTACTTCAGAGCTTCAGTGCTAAACGTGAATGTCCATGCTCTTAACAAAATGTATTAATTAATGAAATTTTACTAATGCGTGAAACACTGAGATATACTTTGTTAGCAGATTTTTAAGGGAACATTAGCAAACTAATGGCAGCTCCTATCGTATGAATACATTTATTAAATTTTTTTAATTCAAAATGATCAAATTCAAATGGATTTATCTAAAAGCCACACTTTACTATATGACCTAGCAGGGAATCATTACTAATGCACTCTTTTTGTGGAGGCGCAGAGCTTTTTTTGCCGCAGGAAAATAACAAAGAGGTGCACCGCAGGGGGGATTATTAAGTTAATTGCCTCGCTACTATCATCAATTATTGATAAAGCTTCCATTTCTTTCAATTGGCAGCTTGGGAGAGGCCAATAAGATTATTCCTATATTCAAATTAGCATGAAAATGGTTTAAGAGACAGTTTTCTTACTGTATCATAACCCTGATGAGGGTCAATTCAAACATATCTCAATGCCAAGTTCTTCATGTATATTTATCTTAAACTAAAGTTAGACAGTTTAGTCAGTCGGTAGTGGGTGTATTTAGAGATCTAACACATATATACAATAATTATTTAATTTTGTATTATATTATAGTTGTAGAATGCTAACATTAAAAGGTAATTACCGACCAAATTGTCTGTCAGTTGATACACTTTTTAACTATTGCTACAAGATGACAGTCAGTGGGCCATCAAAATAAAGTGATCCTTGCACAGTTGTCCCGGTATGTTCCTTTACGCTAATAACACTTGTCCCTTTCAAGGTCCTGCGAAGGTCTCTCCCTGCATCTGCTGTGCAACCCTGGCAGCAGAATCAATTTATAACACTGACGATGCCTCAAGCACAGTGTAGAATATGTGGTTCGGTTATGGGTCACAACAAAGTCCAACTGCTGGGACTTTAGATAAAGTATAAATACCCTCCCAGTCCCTCAGCATTATAAATATACAAATGGTGCAACTCCAGTTAATGTTGGCAAATTGAGTCCAGTGAGGAAATAGGGAATGTTGCCACAAAGCAACCCATGCACAACAAATTTATATCCATATTGTTGTAACCTTAAAGGAATTGTGTGACATTTTGGGAAATGTGCTTATTTGCTTATCAATCTACTGTCAATCTTCTTATCTAAGTCTTGGCGAGAAAGCAAATAAGCCTATTTCTCAAAATGTCGAACTATTGCTTTAATCTTCTTGGGATGAATTATATTTTGAAAAACCTAAATAGATATAGCATAATAGCATTGTGTGGTGATGTGACCACAAAATGAAAATGCAAAAAGGTGAGTCGTAATTTTATTTTGGAACAAAGTAATTTTAGAGGCTGTGTATGTGAGGTGTATGTATGTGCCTGCCTCTATCACCCCCTCACACACACAATCACAATTGAATCTACCGTATGACAGTGTGTGTGTGTGTGTGTGTGTGTGTCTGTCTTGCACAGTGATAGAAAGCTGACAGAAAAGTTACGTTGTCCACATAATGGGTCAGTTAACCTCTTATCTTTTTCCATTTAGGAGATTACAGCTGTGACATACACCTTATTTGTGTTTGTATGTGTGTGTGTGTGTGTTTCTGCCAGTCCCACCTACTGTTATTGTTCTCTCCTTCCACATAATTACAACAAAGCAGCAGGGGGTGGCCAATAAGAGGACACCACTCACTGCGCTGTGAGTTAGCCCAGACCACAACACACACACACACACACACAAACACACACAGAACCACAAAGCCCTGAACCTCTCTGAGAGCTGAGGAGCACAGATTTTTACAAAACTGCCAAAAATTCAGCAGCGCAGTTCAAGAGGTTTCCATCAACAGTGACGTAGAAGACAGTAGGGACATGTGGACAAAGAGAGACAGACAGACAGAGCGAGGGAGATGGAGCATGATCAACACCTGCTTTCTTTCAT